AGAGTAAGAAATTAGAGAAACTTGGGAGGCTCCAGTGTAACCTCAATTGGCAGCCATTCAATAAGTTGTCAGAGAAGCTTCAGGAAGAAGATAGCAAGCAGCTCTCCTGGACAGTTTTGTTTCCTTGCATTCCATCTTGTCATCTGATCTCAGACATCTCAAGTTGGGGAATCTGGCAACTTTCTCTATAGAAGAATGCTGAGTTTTAGTTGCTCCCCTGTGGATGGCCCGATGGGGCAGTTCAGGTATCAACTCAGCTTAGAACCAGGGCATTCAAAGGGCCAGCAGAATTCTACTTGATTCAGTACAGCTACTGACTCTGGCAAGGGTGAAGACAAGGAGAAAGCAGCTCCCACAGAAGTATGGGGGCAGGGAGAGAAATGTGGGAACCAAAGGCAGGGACTGCATAACCAAGCAAAAGTAAAGATTGCTGAGTCAGATAACCAGAGTGATCAGAGTTAGGTTCTTCAGGGCCTTGGACAGTTCACAGGAAGAAGATGGTCTGTTTTGAGTCCACGGCTCCCTTGTGGGAAAATGGCTCCAAGCCTCAGTTCTGTCCCCCCTTGCCTGCAGATCCGGGAGCCTCTCACCCCTTTTCAAACCCCCTCCCTTGTGGAGTGTTCCCTCAGCCTCCTCTCCTCTCCCCTTTCCTTGGGAGTTCTTCAGGCAGCTGTCCCTGATCTCTGAGCTGCCCCCACCCCCACCCCACCTCAAAGAGAGGTGCCTCCTCAGGCCGTCCCACAGGGGCATGGGAGCAGGGTGCCCACAGCCTTAGTGGCCCAATGGAGACTGGCCAAAGGTGAACATGAGGCCAGCACCTGACCTTGGGAGGCAGCAGTGGGTGCCAGGCCTGTTACAACGAACAGACACACAAGCCTTTGGGAGGCAGAGACATGAGAGGGCATCAGAGGAGGGAGGGAAGGAAAGAGGGACAGAGGCCTGTGTTGCTTGAGGCACCCCTGACCATCCTTCAAGGCACCACAGGGTGCCATGGCACACTGGTGGAAAACCACTGGCACATTTCATAGAATTCTATTTTTTTTTTTTTTTGAAATTTTTTTTATTAGTTTTACAATATTTTAAGAACAAACAAACACTTAAAAAGACATACAAACACGTATAATTTCATAATGTTTTTCATAAACCTCTTTTCTGAGACTCCCCCATACCCCCCCTTTCTGCATCCCAATGTCCATAGTTTTATAGCAACTCCCAATTGTTACTTTCCAACCTCTGTCCTTAGTTATCTCTGTAATCTGACCTTATATCACTGTATCCCTTTGTTCCTGAAAACCATAACACTCTAACATTCATCAAGTTTATAATAGTCCTTAAGATAACTTTTGAATTTTCTCCATTCTTCTTCCACCGTCTCTTTTCCTTGGTCACGGATTCTGCCTGTCATCTCGGCCAGTGTCATATAGTCCATCACTTTCATCTGCCATTCTTCCAGAGTGGGTAGATCTTGTGTCCATTTCATAGAATTCTAGAGTAGGAAGGCAACAGGAATCTTTTGCCCAACATGAGGCTTGAACCCACAACCCTGAAATTATTTGTTTCCATTATAAAAAGATTGACATGACTCATAGAATGAGTTGGAAGATACCTCAAGAGTCCAGCGCAGGAATCACAGCCCAAGAATCCCTGATAGATGACCATCCAGCCTCTGTTGGAAAACTTCCAGTGAAGGAGAATCCAGCACCTTCCAACGGAGTCTATTCCACTGTCAAATGGCTCTTACCATCAGAAAGTTATTCTTAATGTTTACCGGTAGTTGGAATCTCCTTTCTTGTAATTTGAATCCATTGGTTTGGGTTCCACCCTCTGGAGCAGCAGAAAACAAGCTTGCTCTCTCTTCAGATATTTGAAGATGGATACCATATCATCTCCCAGTCTCCTCTTTCCCAGGCCAAACACCCCTAACTCCCTCAATCATTCCTCATACAGCTTGGTTGCAGCCCCTTGATCTTCTTGGTTGCCCCCTCTGCACACGTTCCAGCTTGTCAATATAATTCTTAAATGGTGGCACCCAGAACTGGACACAGTACTCCGGGTATGCTCTGACCAAGGCAGAAAAAGCAAGACTATTACTTCCTTTGATTGAGACACTCAACTTCTGTTGATGCAGCCTAGAATAGCATTAGCTTTTTTGCTGCTGCATCACACTGTTGACTCATATTAAGCTTGTGGTCTACTAACACCCCTAGATTATTTTTGTTTGTACTACTGGCAATCCAGATGTCTCCCATCATCATATATTTGTGCAGAACCTTACATTCATCCCTCCTGAAATTCATTTTGTTAGTTTTGTCCCATTCCGCCAATCTGTTAAACAAATACACAAATAAACAAATATTTAGTTGTTTCCATTGGGTTTGAACACCACTTTGAATTACAGCAACTTTATTCAATAGTAAAGGTGGATCTGACTAGTCCAGTATCCCTTTTCTAAAAATGAAAAGTTTTATAAAAACTCTATGGGGACAGACAAGTATTATCTCCATATTAGTCTGGCAGAGGTGTGGAGATGTCTGGTACTGTGGAATAATTTCTTGCTTAAGTTAGGGCCACTTTGTAAATTCATGACGAGGGGGATCTTTGAGTTTCCCAGCTCATTGCTTGCTTTCCTGGTCACTTGAATATCCATCTCCCTACAGTCACTGTGTTGCTCCCCAGGTAGATGACTCCTTTGAGATTCGGTGATGTTCATGTGCTTTGGACTCAAAATATTTCTTTGTAGATTTACAGGTCTTCTACAGAGACTTTTTCTGTACATGCTCGTGGGGATTCCTTCCCTTATAAAACGGGGGACTGAAAATATCCAGCAATCCCAATCTGAACCCCTGAATGGGAGACCGCCCTCAGTGGCGGAGCAAGCCAATCGGGCGCCTGGGGCGGTGTATGTGCCCTGCACCCAGGGGTGGGGCCAGCTGCCTGCGGGGCAGGGGGGCAGGACGCTCCGTGGGGCCTCCAAGGAGTCTGCCTGCCTCCTCCCACTCAGCCACCCTACATCTGAGGGAGAGGCTGTGGGTAGACCGTTTGGGGCAGCGCGGAGCCTGTGGGTGCCCAAGCCACGGCGTCTCTGTATAGATAACAATTTTGCCGTGCTGTAGCGGGAAATCTGTTCCTAAATACCTGTGGTCTTCTGTCAAAGTCATTCCTAGCTGTAAATCACTGTGGGAGAGCTGTAAGGGGCAGAATTGTATTTACGGCAACGATAAAAACTGGAACTCAGTTCCGGCACCTCTCAGGTTGGCACTGTTGCCATTACAAGAGAACAAGGAAGACGTTTGTGGTGAGTTCCAGCACCTCTTTTTCCAGAAAAATAGCACAGAGTTTGTACCTTGGGGCCCGCTCCACTTTCATGTTTGGTGTTCAGCAGCAGGAGTTTTTGAAGGAATCCTGTAAGCAGGGCCAGTTGGGGGGAGGGGTTGCAGGGGGCATTTGGCCTGGGGCAAAACCTCAAAGGGGGCCTCAGATTTAGTCACTTCTTAATATTTTTGGTATTTGATTCTTCTCTCAACTTGTTTCTACCTGCAGCAGACCAAAATGTGACGCCCACTCTCAGCTTAGAGCTGCAAACTTAAGCAAATGAGAGATGTGATTTTTGTAAAAGACATGGTTCGCAGATATTTCATCATATTCAATTACATCTCACTTCTTTGGTGTGTGGCGCTATTTTGTTTTGGGTTCCATCATTTTTGATTTTTTATTCTGCCTAAAGCTGGAAGTGGCCTAGGTCTCTCTGGACCACTGAAACCGGGTGTCCCTGACCATTGTTCTTGCTGGCCAGGGCTGGGAGCAGCACGCAGGCACTCAAAGGCTTGACCAGTATTCTCTGTAAAACGGACTGCAAACACACACACACACACACACACACACACACACACAGAGCAGGCCCCAGAACCTTTTGCGATTTGCAGTGTTTCTGAAATCTAGAAAATTCGAAAAGCACCATAGACAGTAGAGTCTGCAGTGAAAAAAGCACTCCAGCATAAGTTTGCGATGAGATAACATTCTTTTTATTGCTAAAAGAGATATAGCATAAATTAATATCTAAATATAACAGTTTTATACTTTTCATTTATTCCCCCATTTATAGTTAACACTATGTTGTAAGCATCCCAGAAGCATTCAGTTTTAAAAAAAACCAGAATATGCATAAGAAAATATAGACAACGTCCACTGCTTCAATTTAAAATGACAGCTCCCTGCTTAAAACGGGGGGCGCCCTTTGCGTGGACGCGTGCAGCCCCTACATCTGGAGCGGCTCCAACAGCATAGGCTTGGTTTGCCTTCCCTCAGGTGGGATACCTGGAGGTCTCCGCCTACCTCAGTCAGTTGTCCAATCCCACCTGGGGGAAGCGTTGCCAAGGAGACCAGGCCAGGTAAGGGAGGGATTACCTGCCCACACAATAGAGGGAGGATCTTACCTGGGAATCCTCACTTGGCTCCAGAGCTTCTCCCACCCTACCCACCCTCAGTTAATGTCTTATTTGCAGTTTAACTTTTCTTCACAGGTTTTGCAGGTTAACTTTTCTTCACAGGTATGCGGGCGCTGCTACGTTAAGGTCGCTGTTAAAGTGCCGGAAAGGAATTTCCCTGCATTGGCAGGTTTCGCCTTTCCCGTAGCAAAACGTCACAACTTTGGCGGTATCAGGCCTTGGGCGGAATCCTTTAGTCCATCTTCCTCTTTGCGGCGGCGATACCAGGGTTCCCCGTTAAAGGGGTTTCTGAAGGGAGGCTTTGACCGTACGCCGAAAGGTCGTCATTGCTCTCCCCTGCGGCGGCGGCGTTACGGGGGCGGCTATCTCTGCTTGAACATATGTTCTCCATAGCCGGCCCATCCCCCCCCCCCCACACACACTGGATAACCCTGATGCTCCCTAGGTCCCCGGCTGGGGACTGGGGAGGGAGAACGCCCAATGCCTGAGCCAAGGTCTACCCACATTTGAAATTTAATAAAGTTGTGGCCAATTTAATCCCATAGCACGTTGTCTTGAGTCGTTATTCCACATGAAGGGGGGACTGTGCAGGATCTGGGGACTCCGCCTGTCCACGCAAAAAGCCAGTCACAGGACGGGAACCATTCATTAGCCATATTGCTAGTGAGCTTGGCATGGTTTCCGTTTTAATATGACTTTGAGATCTTTGCCAGATAGGGGGTTTTTCTTCTTCACATTCAAGTGTCACAGAAGAGAAGTACTGTCTGTATTTCATGCTTAGCTTTGGGTTTTCAGTGTCTGTAACACTTTCTGGGTCATTTACAAATTTTGGCTTGGAAGTGTTTATTTCACTCATCTTCCAAAAATATTTTTCACCCAGAGCCAGAGTTCCGCTTAAAAGCTGCGAAGCTGCAGCAAGAAACCCAATATAGATGGCCATTCCAGCACGTTGTTCTGTGGGAATCGGAGGAACTCCCAAAACCTCTGGAAGTGGAATTCCTTCGTTTGTTAATACAGAATAAAGATTCCATGCAATGGGAATCAGTACACAAGTACCCGCTGCCAACTCCATCCTTCCTCCAATTGAAAAGAAGGTATCAATGAAATTCTCGTCTTTTCCCGGCTCAAAGATGTTGCATAGAGCAAAGGCCACCCAAAGAACGGTCACCGCATTGGCCACTGAGGCCATTGGCATCAAGTCCTGGGCCACCATGATTTCCGCTGGCAGGGACTCCTCATCGTTGAATGGTATACATATCATGTTGGTTTTCTTCATAGTAACTCTTCTTATGGAACAGGCACCCCAGATGCCAATGCCCACAATGCCCTGCTGGTTGCTGCCCATGATTTTGTCTACTTGCCACACTCTCCAGTCAAGGTTGGCAGATGTGGAGCAGATGCTCATTAGGCAGCCCAGGACAGCCAGGAGAAAGGCAGCTAGTTGCACGCAGGACACCCTGCACAACAGGCGGACTGGGAAGGACCCATCATGCGCCTGGGGTGGAAGTACCGCTTTAGTGCTGGGAAGGCTGGCGATAGAAGGCATGCTGGAGAAAAAGACAGACAAAAGATAACTGTTAGATACTTAGGCACAGTATCATATGGACACCTCCGAAAGTTTGAGCAAATAGTGATGTGCAGCTAAAACAATGCCATCATTCTAGGGCAAATTCTGCATTTCCCACCTTGAGACGTAGGAATGGAAAAGTCTGCTGTACCTGCAATCATAAGTGCCAGGAATCAGACTTCCCCAGGGGTGAAGAAATTGCACAACCACACGACCCCTTTTGTTCTAGGGACCCCCTCCATGCAGATAATTGGGCTCTTGTCTAGTCCACTCCTCCTCTGCATTCCTATGCTCCCCTCCCTTCCCTCTCCATTGGTAAAATGTCAGGCATGATCCCACCAAAGTTATGCATTCTACCTATTCTCTCTCTCTCTCTCTCTCTCTCCTCTCTCTCTCTCTCTCTCTCTCTCTCTCTCTCTCTCTCACACACACACACACACACACACACACACATTGTGAAAAGCCTAACAAGTGGCTCTCAGACAGGACAAAAGGAAATAAAAAAAGTCAATTTGTTCCTATCTGAGAAAACACTGCTCTGTTGGTGGGGAACTGAGGAGCGCTGCATATATGCACCTGCGTGAATCAGTTCTTCAACCAGTCTTTTCCCAGAGCGAGGGCTTTTTCCAGGTCTTTCTCTTCCAGCGTCTGATCTAGGAGAGGACCTGAAAAGAGTGAAGCTGGTCAGAGCACCGTAGCAACTGCTCCTTGGAGTTCTGAGGCAGTTAGAATGCAGCTTGCTTTGAACGCTCAGAAGAACACAAATCGTAACTTCCAGGGTACTGGTCGTTTGGAACATTTGGCAACTGCTTGGAGGCAGTTTGCATTCGAATACCAGTGTGATTCTGCAACTTTTAAAAGACACTTTTTTGTTAGATGTAAGCTGATGCAAAGATTGGATACAGAATGTGGAAATAAACACCCCCGCTGCCAGTTCCAAAGGAATGAGAGAGCAAGATTTGAAATAAACCAGGGGTCAGCAACATTTTTTAGCTGTGGGCTGGTCCACCGTCCCTCAGACCATGTGGTTGGCTGGACTATATTTTGAAAAAGAAAGAAAAAATGAACAAATTCCTATGCCCAAGAAATAACCCAGAGATGCATTTTAAATAAAAGGACACATTCTACTCATGTAAAAACACGCTGATTCCCGGACCGTCTGCAGTCTGGATTGAGAAGGCGATTGGGCCGCATCTGGCTCCCGGGCCTTCGGTTGCCTACCCCCGGTTAAGGTCATATTGAATCCCTTCAGGCATTCAAAGATGGCGATCAGATTATCAGTTGGAGAGTTGACAGGGTTTTTTGTTTTGTTGGACCCACTTTTTCTATTGAATTGATATTACCACGCTCCATTTGGGAGGGTTTTGCTTGTGGTGCAATTTTAATGGTTTTGTCTTTTTTCATAATTACGTGTTTTATTGCTGTAACACTTATGGTGGGACCTTATAATGAAGACTGGGCAAGAAATCTTATAGGTAGATGGATCAATAGTCAGTCTAGCAAAACCAAATGTGTGTTTGCATGGGGAACATAATGGATAAGAGCAATCCAAACTATAGGAAGCTGCTGTAATATATGACGGGGAAAATGATGCTGCTGTAACTTACCTCTGTTTCAAACTCCATTGAGGAATGGGGCTACTGCTGGATGGGCCAACTTGAGCCTGACGGAGAGAAAACAACCATTACACCACTCATTTTGTGAGTGTATCTTCCAATGGGTTACCAGGTCATGTGCCTGAGCTGAGCAGAGTTTGGAAAAGGGGCAAGTTCCCCCCTCCCCATTTCCATCTTCACTTTCCCAGAGCACCTCTTTTGGGGGACTTACCCAAGCCTTGGCTGAGCCAAGACAGAGGACTGACACCAGTGTCTCTCCAGCTGAGTAGAGATGAGGGACCTCTGTTGCTCAACCACAGATGCACCTTTTCCAAACTGCTCATCTTGGCAGTTCTTGGGTTTGGAATGCTCCCTTAGTTTTTATTTGCATTAATTTATTGGAAAAAATTTCATTCCACTATTAATTGCAAGTGCTTCCAGGTGGTGATACAATAAACTTTGGTAATAAACTTAGCTTGCATTCTCCATATTCTTCCAACCCCTTTCCCGAGGACTGGTAAAATGTGTAAAGTGGGAAGCCTCACACTGCTCCCGTACGTGATATGTGGCTTTCTACCTGTTGAACAAGTACCCTAATGATATCCCCAGGAGCCAGAATGTGAGTTAGTGAGGCCCATGCCTTTATATATGATGGCAGAGCTGGGAGTACAAGCAAATGAGTCAAGTGTAGTGAAGCATATTTCTCATTAAATAGAGCAACTGGAAACAAAGCTCATGGAAAGGTGAGCTCATTTATCAAATCACATGTGGATGACACAGGCGCTATGTTTTATTACCTCCAGGGCTCGAGGTAATATCAAACAGTTTTTGCTGGGTAATGCCAAGGATTCATAATGTTGTTTTTGGAGGCGCTTCATATATTGCGCTGAATGGGTGCATCATTGCCAGTTGGTTTGCTCTAGGAAAAACAAAAGCAAAAATGAGCTTCAGGGGAAGCTCAGTGTTAGAACACATAGCTTGCATGCAAAAGGAAATGGTCCAGACCTTGGCATCTCTAGGTAGAGCTAGGAAAGACTTCTGCTGAAACCATGGAAAGTCACCAACAATCCATGCATGTCAGGGATGCAGAGCTTGTAGTCCTCCGTATGTTGTTGGGCTACAACTCCCACCATTCTTGACCATTGGCGATGCTGGCTGGAGTTCAAGATTATTGTAAGGGCCACTGTTTTTCTTCCGCGGTATAGACAGGAAGCAAAATCTCTTCCTGTGACCCCATTGCTCCTGACTTACTTGCAAAAGTGCTTCTTGTCTCCTTGGCACAGTACTCTTCCTAGAATATCTTAGTGCTTCTTCCTCTTTCCTGAGCATCAAGACCATCTAGCAATGGTGCCATGCTAGAGGGAGAAGAATTGCCTTTGTTAATAAGTTGGTGCATTTCTTCCCCATTGCAGCATTGTGTTGTGATGAGTGGTGTCTCTTGTTCTTCAGAGATTGTTGCCCGAAGAACAGAGACAGCATCACAACACCACAACAGGAGAGGAAATGCTGTCTTTCTAAAGAGCAACAAACAACATTTCCTCTCCTCCAAATCACAATGGGAAGGAAGGAGACCAGTGTTTCTGTAGTTGATAGAGAATATGAATTGTGTGTGTATCTGTGTGTGTGTGTGTGTGTATGTAGAATAACAGAATTGTAGAGTTGGAAGAGACCTCAAAGGTCATCTAGTTCAACTGTCTGCAGGGCAGGAATCACATCTAAAGAATCCCTGACAGATGGCCAGATGGAAGTTTAAAAACCTTCAGTTTGTGGGTTGTGTGTACTGTACGGCAAATATGTATGTGTGGTGCATATCTGTGTGTGGTCTATATGTGTGAATGCATAGTGAATATGCTGCGTGGTCCATATGTGTGGTCTGTATGTAGCTTTGTATGCTGTGTCTCTGGCGAGTGTATATGTGTGCTTTGGCCGTAGCTGGTGTGTGGCCCTGAGAGAGTTGGTGGACTGTGAACGTGGCCCAAAATTGTAACCACTGGTGATGCAGACAACATTAAGCTATATATACCAATGGCCTCGTTTGTTATGTGGCAGCTTCCAATTCATTTGTTTTTTGAAGTTGATTTTCAGCTTGTTGAGCACTGTCAGAGACCTCATCAGCCATGTCTGAAGTCTCATTACTTAATTTTTCAAAAGCTACTTCAAAATGGTGATGTATGAGAAAAGATCAGAATGAAAACAGCCCATATTAGTAAAAATGTGAGAGAGAGCATGCTTAGAATCCTTGTGCTGCAGAGGCCAGTTCAGCAATTATTGGAAGCTGTATCCAATTAAGCTATACTCAGAGTACACTTATTAAAATGAAGGAATCTAAGATAGCCATATCCATTAACTTCAGTGAGTCTGCTCTGAGTAGGATTAGCATTGGATACAACCCTTGGAGTCTTCTCTCTGCTGAGACACCCAAAAAAACACAATAATGAATCCTGAACAATTGTGTGGAAGCCATTGCATGTAAATCTCTATGTGCAAATGCTTTCCCTGTATGCCTGTGAATTGTTGATTAGATACAGGATGCTGGGGAGGTTTCTGATGGTAGCTAGCATGCAAGGACACGTCGCAGCATAATAGTTTAACCTGAAGGGTTAAAAAGAGCAGAAGCATCACTTTTAAAATGAAAAGATTCAAAAATCTCTATTTTTGTTGAGAAGAGGGAAGCAGAGCCATTGTCCACAAGAATATCAAGCCACGGCAGTAATATGTGGTTGAAATAAAACTGAGGGGTTTTCTTTTTGAACTGTTTATTTTCTTCATTTAAAAGAGTTAAAAAAGAAAGAAAGAAAGAAAGAAAATGTGTGCCATTTGAAATGTAAATAAGTTTGGGGGTTTAGATGTTCAAGGGGTATGTGTGTGTGTGTGTGTGTGTGTGTGTGTGTGTGTGTGTTCAAGTAATCAGTACAATGCAAGCTTAAGGTGAGCAAATATTTTGCTCCTATTGTTTTATGTTTGCTGCTGACTGTATTTCAGAAGGCTTAAGAAGCACTCACTTTGCAGCTTGGCGGGTTCTGATTGTATCCAGTAGTGAGGCTCAAAGAGGCTTTATATAATTCAGGAGCAGGGCAGAGAAAAGAGGAAAAAACCCAACTGCCATGTGAATAAAATGTCAAAGTATCTCTTCTCACGAAGCTATCGGTGTGCTGGTCTTGAACACGTAAGCTCGGCTGGATAGAGAGTAAATGATTTTTTACAGATAATGTGCTTTTATGATCTAACAAAGGAAGAAGAATTGCCTCTGAAGAAAAATGTCCTTTTTGTCTTCCTTTTGTGCCCTTGAAGGGTTTTCTCTCTTTTTTCCCTGGAATCCATCAGAGGATAAAGAACTGGGTGTCAAACAGGAGAGGGAGGGAGGGGATAAGAGTAAGAATACTAAAAATATAAAAGGGACCAACTGGCCTTCTAGAAAATCCCTTCTACAGCATCATGTCTGGGAGGTGGCTCTCAACTGCTGCTGTTGTGTGGAAGTCCAAAGCACTACCGTCCCTTCTGGTCATGTGTGATTCTATAGAATAAAACTATTTATTTTTTGGCTTCCCCTCTGGCTTCTCCCAAGAGAACTTAATTCATTCCGGAGGTCCGTTCTTAACCCAAAACTGTTCTTAACCTGAGGTATGCTTTTGCTAATGGGGCCTCTTGCTGCTACTGCGATTTCCGTTCTCATCCTGGGGCAAAGTTTGCAACCTGAGGTACTATTTCTGGGCTAGCGGAGTCTGTAACCTGAAGCATATGTAACCTGAAGGGTCTGTAACCCAGGGTACCACTGTACATAGGAATGCAATACTGCAAAAAGAAGAATAACCAAGGGTGATATGTGTATTGTGCTTTTAAACCGGGGCAGGCAAACAAAGGCCCGGGGGCCGGATCCGGCCCAATTGCCTTCTCAATCTGGCCCGCGGACGGTCCAGGAATCAGCGTGTTTTTACATGAGTAGAATGTGTCCTTTTATTTAAAATGCATCTCTGGGTCATTTATGGGGCATAGGAATTCGTTCCTTTCCCCCCAAAAAATATAGTCTGCCCCCCCAAGGTCTGAGGGACAGTGGACCGGCATATGTTTTGAATGCAAGCCCCAAGCATTGGGGGAAAGTAGCTTGGCTTAATTTCTGAGCCCCCCTCCCAGTCTTAGTCTACATCATGATAGGAAGGCTCACATTTGCTGCTGTCAGCTCCTTGGCTGACGGGTAAGGACGTAATGACAAAAGGGTTCTGTTGTTGCATGTTCCTCAAGGAGGTTAGATTGGTCTCAACTAGGGCCAGGGCCTTTTCAGCACTGGCCCCGACGTGGTGGAACGCTCTGTCACAAGAGACTAGGACCCTGCAGGACATCTTTCCACAGGGCCTGCAAGACAGAGCTGTTCCGCCTGGCCTTTGGTTTGGACTTGGTCTGACCCTTATGTTTCCCTCCCTTTATGGTCTTGATTTATCAGCTATTCTAAAACGAGGCTGCATTTTAAATTGCATTTTAACCTGTATTTTAAATTTTTTCTCTCTCCCCCCCTTTCCCCCCATTATGTTTTTACTGTGATTTTATTAGTGTTAGCTGCCCTGAGCTCGGCTCTGGCCGGGGAGGGCGGGGTATAAATTAAATATTGTTGTTGTTGTTTGTTGTAAAAGTATGTGCTTCTGAAATATTTTGGCACAGGCACACCAAGTTCCACCCAATGTGGGGGGGGGGGGCGTTGCACAAGCATGTGACATGCGTGTGATGCACACATGTGATATCGCATGCATCGGGAGGAGGCTGCAAGGCCTAGAGAGGCCCACCACCATCCTGGGGAGGCCTGGGGAGGCAGGCTTCCACTGCAGGAAAGTCCACAATCCGTTCTATCACCATTTTTAAAAGAGATTAATAATTTTGGCACCCCTCAAGTCTGCTGGGATCTCCTCTCTCTCCCAGATTTTTCTGATGAGCTTGTAAAGTTATCCCACATCAAAACACAACAACAAATGTATTCTTAAAACAAAAAACTGAAACATTATTAAATCACAAAAAGCCCATCCCAGTATAAAACTGAGAGGCCCTTCCAGTAAAAGTTATTTAAAAGGCCTTCATGAATAGAAAGGTCATTAATATTATTACATTTACCCCAAACTCCAAGCGGTTAGAGACTTCAGCATAGAGCTCAGGTTTAGTTTCT